TTCCGGCCTAGACCCGTGGGGGAGTGAAGGAAGACTCAGGCTTACCTATAACCATAGCCTCTCTGAGTCTTGCCTGCCAGACAAAAAAAAGGTTGCAGGAACTCCTTTCCCGCCTGTCTTCTCTATCTTCCTCTTAGCAAGGTCGCCAGCTGGGTTATTATATCTGCACCCCAGCAATGCAGTTCAGTGGGTGTATCATATATCGTTTGTAGCCAGAAATGTATGCTCATAGAGAAATATCACAAATGGAGGCACACTCAAACACAGTAATAAAATGTGTGGATTTACTGACGCAAATTACATGAACACACACACACAATCACAAGTAATACATGAATATGGAATATGGATGATGAGTCTGGAGATCGTCAGCCTCTTCTTCCACGACCTCCAACTCTCCTTCAACTGGGCAGGAAGACAGGAGTCTCACACTCTCACAGGAGGGCCTCTTCACCACGTCGGCACCTCTTCTTCACTGTCCTGCCATCCATACACACTGTCCTCTCTGACAGTCCTGGACACAAGCTGCCTTGCAGCCTATTCTACTATTAAAGTAATAAAGTCTTGCTGCCACATACACAAGTAAATATTGTGGCCTAACTAGCCTACTCATACAAGGGGTAATGGGAGGGAAAAATGATCTACCTTACACTCCTGGCTCACGACGCCTGTCCCTCGATGGTGTGATGGTCCCTCGCTTCCTTGGGTCGATCCTCGACGATCCAGGGCGTTCCACAGGTCCTCAGGTGTCGTGAAGCCTTCGCGTCGTCGCCGTTCCAATCCCTGAGGTTCAGCTGCCCCAATCCTGGTTCATCGACGGGCGCTGAGCTAATCACTATTTTTCCCCACACTCGCCTCTCCCACAGGGCGTCGCTCCTTGTCCTAGGCACTGTGTCGTCCTTCCAAGATTCTCAGTGGATGTGACCCCAGTCACAGCTAGCTTGCTCGCCCACCTTCCAGACCTCCACGTCCAGCCAGCGGCGCCGCCCAGCGTCGTCGCCGACTATTTTCCAAGTTTGGGCACTTCTCTGCTCACTGAACTTGGTTCCTCTTTGGCTTCCCAGAAGCGCAGGGTCTCCAATAACTATGTTGGCGGCGATGGTCAGCTCAATCCACTGGACAAGGCTTGCAGAGCCTCCAATTCTTGAGAGCAGACCGAGGCGCGTCCTGTCGCTTCCACGGTCAGTACAACTCTGACGTTGGCGCCGCCCGGGGCACTCGGTGACGTCATGGCGGGCCCTGATTTGTCGCCCGCGACCTACGTCGGCCAATCCGCGATCGGCACAGTGTCCCTTCCACAAGGTCACATCTGCCGTAGGGGATACTGTTTCATTTATAACAGGGCGCCAATTTTCCTTTATTTACAACTTATAATATAACCTCCATCCATTAAATGGCAGCCGGTCTGGTCGCCACATACATCATTAGACTCCCTGAACCTCAGAGAATCAGTAGGGAGAGCTGATATGACTCTTTAAGCCGGCAAACGAAAGAAATAGGAGAGGGCACCGTAACAATATATATATATATATATATATATATATATATATATATATATATATATATATATATATGCGAACAAGCCTGAATGGTTCCCAGGACTATATGCGACTGAAAACTCACACCCCAGAAAAAACTCGCATATATATATATATATATATATATATATATATATATATATATATATATATATATATATATATATATATATATATATATATATATATATATATATATATATATATATATACATATTTTTTATCCAACAATGATATTCCAACAACATCACAATGATATCCAACAACATCACAAAAAAACACTGATCCAAGTATGCATAAAAACCATATGATAAAAACAGAGAATGCCTAACGCGTTTTCGGCTAATTCGCCTTCATCAGAGCAGAGTAGAATAAAGAAGACTAAAGAATGAATTGTCTTCATTCTACTCTGCTCTGATGAAGGGGAATTAGCCGAAACGCGTTAAGCATTCTCTATTTTTAACATGTGGTTTTTCTACATATATATATATATATATATATATATATATATATATATATATATATATATATATATATATATATATATATATATATATTCGTTCACTACTTTCACCAACTCCTAGTGTTCTGTCGTCTGAACCTATTCGTTAAACGCTGGATTAGCTACGAGGGTTTAATTATCATCTAACCCATATTACCAGCAAATTGGATTAGTGTGATTTAATCCCTAGAAGCGATATATTGGCCCGAAAAGCGCCATTCGCTCCGAGGTAGTTCATCAGTCATTAGATAATTAATTCGCCAAATTCCCTAATGCATTGAAGCCACTAATGGAGAGTATATAACGCGATTCATATGATCCCATATTGCGTGAGTTATTGCATTGAAGGATCGATCTTTGCAGAGGGAATATGATGGCTCCTTGTTTATCTATTGTGTTTACCTGTGGTTTACCTGTGTTTTACCTGTGTTTACCTGTGTTTTACCTGTTTACCTACATATTACTACCTAATATATCTTGCCTAAAGCCTAATATATCTTGTGTATATATATATATATGATAAACTTATTTATGACTCATATAAAGTCATTTAATATAAATATACTAATATATGACATATTTGATGCCCATAATATATATGGATAAACTTATATATAAAAGGCTTTAGTCGTCAATTATAAGGGTAAACTAATATGTGGCATTTTATAAAGTCTCTAATTACAATTATAAACTAATATTTAACAGATAAAGCTCTTAAATATAGGATGAATTTAGCAACCCGATACAATAAATGAATCTATAACAAGTAGGCCTATAAAAACTTTGGAAATTTTAATGCCAGAGATTTATGAAAACATTTTCGTTTATGAGAATAAAATAAATCTAAGACACAAATAAATTATTAATATATAGGTCAACGTTAAATCTGAACCAGTTTAACTTATCACAAGTATATATCATGCTAACTCCACATAGATATGTTACGCTAGAAAATATATCATAGAGGTAAAAAACACGTAAATAAACCGACGATAGAAATAGAAAAGCAATATTAAAAAACACCAATAAATATGTTTTTTGTAATTAACATATTTTGTACTAACACATAAAAACAATAGATTTGTGAGCAAAAACATAAATATTAAATATTATAAACATATATATATATATATATATATATATATATATATATATATATATATATATATATATATATATATATATATATATATATATACATATATATATATATATATATATATATATATATGTTTATTATTATAAACATAAATCATAAATATTCGTGATTACAAAATAGTAGTCAATATACTTCAGTCAGAAGTGAGGCTAGTCAGAAGAAGATTGCAACTCAGAACTCAACTAACACTCAGAAAATAATTCATAACGATTACCACTCACACAGACAGACAAGTAAGTCATAGCCAAACCGTAACCATCTTGAGGTGATCTTGAGATGATTTCGGGGCTTTTAGTGTCCCCGCGGCCCTGTCCTCGACCAGCCCTCCACCTCCAGGAATCCGCCCGTGACAGCTGACTAACTCCCAGGTACCTATTTTACTGCTAGGTAACAGGGGCATAGGGTGAAACAAACTCTGCCCATCGTTTCTCGCCAGCGTCCGGGATCGAACCCGGGACCACAGGATCACGTGTCCAGCGTGCTGTCCGCTCGGTCGGCCGAACCATGGACTAATACGTTTAACATAAATTAGGAATAAGTGTAAACCATTTAGACAGACACAGTCTGGCACCTTTTAACTGGGTGCCACTCTGTTCATTTGGCATTGATTCCTGTGTGTGTACTCACCTAATTGTGCTTGCGGGGTTTGAGCTCTGGCTCTTTGGTCCAACCTTTCAACTGTCAATCAACTAATGTACAGGTTCCTGAGCCTACTGGGCTCTATCATGTCTACACTTGAAGCTGTGTATGGAGTCAGCCTCCACCACATCACTGCCTAATACATTCCATTTATCTACTACTCTGACGCTGAAAAAAATCTTTCTAACGTCTCTATGGCTCATTTGGGCTATTGTGGGCCATTTTGTGTGTGTGTGGAAAACAAAATCTGTTGGTTTATTGACAGTTGAGATGCGGGACCAAAGAGCCAGAGCTCAACCCCCGCAAGCGGTGGCACAGAGCCAAACACTAGCACCTCTTGTGCCAAGTGCCAATTGCATCTTGTCAGGTGGGAGATGCCGGAGCCTTAAGGACTATCTGCGTTATATCTCCCGAGGGCTTTGTTCCTCTCAAGGACCAATTGTGGCAAGCGGTAGGTCCTGAATACCCTCTCAAGGGCCTCCCTCATTCCCCACTCCTCACAGCTAACGGGCTATGAGGATGGGGGGAATGAATTGCCTTGTTCCATGAAGGGTTAAAGACGGTCAAGGGTTCCTTGATCTATCTTTAGCTCTTGAGTGCGTTTACCCGGAAAAGTGAGTTTACCTTGTTCATGGTAAAGTGAGTTAAATATATGGTATTCCGTGCGTAATCAATTTATTTCAACTTTTATTTATTAGCTGAAGAGTCATTTCTTCCATTGATGCTTCACAATCTACTTCGAAATAGAGCATTCCATTCCAATAGAACAATAGAGTACGATCTAATTTCCAACCACAAGCTCTAATCTCACCTCCAATGTGTGTGTGTGTGTGTGTGTGTGTGTGTGTGTGTGTGTGTGTGTGTGTGTGTGTGTGTGTGTGTGTGTTTTGGGGAAAAACAAAGCTGATAGATTGACAGTTGAGAGGCGGGCGGAAAAAGCCAGAGCTCAACCCCCCGCAAGCACAACTAGTTGAACACAACTAGGTGAATACAAAGGCACAACCTGTGCTCACTGGCTTAGAGGAAGCGCCTCGCCGGAGCACATCTTCAATAACAGCTACACAAACTTTAAGATCATCTGCCCAGGAGAAACTTGCCACCCAAGTTCATGTTATCCAAAAGTTAGGAAGGCAAGTTCATTTTCTGATATTTGTGGAGTCGTTCATTCCATCTCTAAGCTGAGAGTAAATCCTTGGCTGCCACCATGTTGGGAGGTTGCCACCATGTTGCCTGCATGTTGGGAGGTTGCCACCATGTTGCCTGCATGTTGGGAGGTTGCCACCATGCTGCCACCATGTTGGGAGGTTGCCACCATGTTGCCTGCATGTTGGGAGCTTGCCACCATGTTGCCTGCATGTTGGGAGGTTGCCACCATGTTGCCTGCATGTTGGGAGCTTGCCACCATGTTGCCTGCATGTTGGGAGGTTGCCACCATGTTGCCTGCATGTTGGGAGGTTGCCACCATGTTGCCTGCATGTTGGGAGGTTGCCACCATGTTGCCTGCATGTTGGGAGGTTGCCACCATGTTGCCTGCATGTTGGGAGGTTGCCACCATCCTGCCTGCATGTTGGGAGGTTGCCACCATGTTGCCTGCATGTTGGGAGGCTGCCACCATGTTGCCTGCATGTTGGGTGGTTGCCACCATGTTGCCTGCATGTTGGGAGGTTGCCACCATGTTGCCTGCATGTTGGGAGGCTGCCACCATGCTGCCTGCATGTTGGGAGGTTGCCACCATGTTGCCTGCATGTTGGGAGATTGCCACCATGTTGCCTGCATGTTGGAAGGTTGCCACCATGTTGCCTGCATGTTGGGAGGTTGCCACCATGTTGCCTGCATGTTGGGAGGTTGCCACCATGTTGCCTGCATGTTGGGAGGTTGCCACCATGTTGCCTGCATGTTGGGAGGTTGCCACATGTTGCCTGCATGTTGGGAGGCTGCCACCATGTTGCCTGCATGTTGGGAGGCTGCCACCATGCTGGCTGTATGTTAAAAGACTGTATAATATATGCTCTGTGTGTTGGAAACTGTATAATCTCTGTTCTGTGTGGTGTAAACTGTGTTCTCCCTGCTCTGTGTGGTGTAAACTGTGTACTCTCTGCTCTGTGTGGTGTAAACTGTATAACCCTCTACTTCACGAGCATAAACAGACGCCAACATGAGTATACATGAGAGCTTATCATTAAATTTAGTTATTCCTAATGATACCAATTATAAATGCATCAAATAAATTAGTTATTAGAGTCAGATGTACAGAGGTAGTGTACCAGCGATTAGCTTTGGTACTTTCCAAAGTAATGTATGACATTATTTGCAGCAAAGTTAAAATGAAATCATGAAAATTTAAATAATGTAACTTAGCTTTCATGATTTTAAGAAATATCAGAGTGAGAAAGATCTTTAGACCAGTGATGAAATAAAGTTCTCTTGTTAGTCTTGATAAGGAAGACTTATCTTTGTTTTTTCTTATCACTTGGTAACGATCTTGTGCTGTTACCAAATTCTGTTCCTCTCAGCCGACTAGGTAGCCAGGGAGCCGGTCGGCCGAGCGGACAGCACGCTGGACTTGTGATCCTGTGGTCCCGGGTTCGATCCCGGGCGCCGGCGAGAAACAATGGGGAGAATTTCTTTCACCCTATGCCTCTGTTACCTAGCAGTAAAATAGGTACCTGGGTGTTAGTCAGCAGTCACGGGCTGCTTCCTGGGGGA